TTTAGGGAACAGAGAGTATAGTTCCCTAAGATCGGAAAAGGAGGATCCTCCGACCAGGCGAGGTGATCGTGCCTGGCGGGCTTTCTGCCCAACAGTTGTTCGTTGGGATTTTCTATCCATGTTAAATCCAATGTAAACTTCGCATGTGCGATGTAGGATTTTTATGACGTCATCCGTTAGAATGTACCATGTGTCGCCACATACCCAACCCAACATACGTGACGGAGTAGCGTAATGCCTACCCATTATGCTTCTTGGTTTTTTATGGTACTTGCGCTCAGTTCCCTTATCATACTCTAGTGGTCTGTAGTTGCAAATAGCAAGACAAGTTTGTAACTGTAATCGATACTCGTAACCTTTGATCATCGGTAACGACAGCAATAGTTTTTTTAGCCGGGTTACATTATTCCAGTTATGTAATCCAGCGAGAATCCAGGGCGCTTACAACCACTATCGTAGCTGTTACAATGGCATTCAGAGTACGGCATATCCCTTATACTTATTATACTCGTTGATAAAGCCAAACTCAATAATTTTTAGTTCATTCGATATCCACGCAATACGGATGCAATGGGCGCTACTGTTGCAACTCAAAAGTACGAAATTTCGCAATACCAATGTCGATCGATCAGAATTGGATTCAAGAGTAAGCCAGTGCTGGACTGAATTTGTAACGTCTGCATTATTCCGTTGAAGTGTGGATAATGATTTACTGTGGCCTGTGGTTACTGTGTCCATGGACTTAATATACGTCCATGACTTTGTCAACCCTAGGTGTCGGCCGTGTACATGGATTCAAAAGTAGATAGACGTTTATATTCATCCAGTAGCTACTAGTCGAGTTCCTCGTCAAACAGTTACGTGAGTAAACAGAAAACATAATAATTAATTTAGTATGTCTCACAAAAATAATGTAAACTTAGACTACTATTATTTATTTTCAGCTATGATTGTCTTACTGCAGGGCAAAAGCCTTCCTATCTTCCTTCCTCTCTATGTAATGGGTTTTGCGGCTTATCTTTGGGGCAGATGTCTAGTTCGTTCCACCATCTCCCTTTTGGCCTTTTTTTTAAACCGCGTCTTATTGACGTCAATCTTCTCGTCCTAAGCAATCCATCAATAAAAAATCGGTAAAAAAATCAAATAAAATGGCAACATTTTACCCAAAAGCCAAGAATCCCAATCATGACAATGGCATCACGATTAAGAGTCAAAAATGTCAAAATAAAAATGGCCGCGCATCGCGTGTTAGTGCCGCGCAGTTAATAATCAAGGTTTTCAGTATTACTTGATTAAAAAACAATTATAATAGTGATTATAAACATTGAATAGTGTAGTTTATCAGTTTAGTTTAAATACAAATACTTTATTCATACAAAATGGAATCTAGGGATGGTAAACGTAAGAAGGACAGAAACAGTGATGATGAAGACAGGCGGAGGGAAAAGAAGACAAAAAGGGCACGATCGAGATCCAGGTCACCAGCTGAGCACCGTGAGAGGGATTCCAGAAGGAAGCGTAGACATTCCAGGTCAGTGTCACCCGACGGGCCTGTGAAACAAGAAAAACGGTCAGACAAACAGCAGGAGCCCGAAGTAACGAAAGAAATACCACAACGTCGCGTCAAGGAAACAGATATGTTGAATACACGGACAGGAGGTGCTTATATACCTCCTGCACGTCTCAGGATGATGCAGGCTCAAATAACAGACAAATCATCAGTGGCATATCAAAGGTTAGCTTGGGAAGCCTTGAAGAAGTCGATACACGGCCACATCAACAAAATCAATGTTGGAAATATTGGTATTATTATTAAAGAGTTGTTGAAAGAGAACATAGTTCGTGGAAGAGGTTTGTTGTGCCGGTCTGTGATACAAGCACAAGCTGCTTCACCTACATTCACTAATGTGTACGCTGCACTGGTTGCAGCTGTCAACTCCCGTTTTCCTAACATCGGAGAGTTGCTTCTAAAGAGGTTAATGATTCAATTCAAAAGAGGTTTCAAGCGCAATGACAAACCTATTTGTATATCTTCAGCTTCATTCATAGCTCATTTAGTGAACCAGAGAGTAGCACATGAGATCCTTGCATTAGAATTGTTAACTTTATTGGTAGAGACTCCTACTGATGACTCAGTAGAAGTGGCCATTGCTTTCCTGAAGGAATGTGGACAGAAACTGACTGAAGTGTCTTCTAAGGGTGTGAATGCAATATTTGAAATGTTAAGGAATATTCTCCATGAAGGACAGTTAGATAAGAGAGTGCAATACATGATAGAAGTCATGTTCCAAGTGTGGAAGGATGGGTTCAAAGACCATCCAGCTTTGATTGAGGAGTTGGAGCTGGTGCCCGAGGAGGAGCAGTTCACTCATCTCATGATGCTAGATGAAGCCACAGACCCACAGGATATCCTGAGTGAGTTATTGTTTATTATTACATGTTTTTAACGTTATTAGTACTATGTATGTGTTAAATAATTTAATTCTTAAGCAGCATCACAAAATCAATACATTTTGCTATGCCGCTTACTGTTGCCGATATAATTTAATTAAATTGCTAGTTGCATAGCTATTGATAACAACAGAAATCATTGCAGATTATTTACAGTTATTTGATTTATGTTTCAGATGTTTTCAAGTTTGATGACAAGTATGAAGAAAATGAACAGAAGTATAAAACACTGAGCAAAGAGATTCTTGGATCAGATGCTGAGTCTGGTGAAGAGGATGGTTCTGGAGAGAGTGGCAGTGAGGAATCGGACGAAGATGAAGAAGAAGAGGGACAAAAACCAGTTACCATCATTGACAACACGGAAACAAACCTCATAGCTTTACGAAGAACTATTTACTTAACTATCAACTCCAGTTTAGACTTTGAGGAGTGTGCCCATAAGCTGATGAAGATGCAACTGAAGCCAGGCCAAGAAGTGGAGCTCTGTCACATGTTCCTGGACTGCTGTGCAGAACAGAGGACTTATGAGAAGTTCTATGGACTTCTAGCACAACGGTTTTGTAATATAAACAGGATGTATATTGGTCCTTTTGAGGAAATATTCAAAGATTCCTATGGTACAGCCCACAGGTTGGACACAAATAGGCTAAGGAATGTTAGCAAGTTCTTTGCGCATTTGTTGTTTACGGATTCTATTAGTTGGGAGGTATTGGAATGTGTGAAGTTAAATGAGGAGGACACAACCAGTTCTAGTCGCATTTATATCAAGATTTTGTTCCAAGAATTGGCAGAGTATATGGGACTGAAGAAACTAAATGATCGCCTCAAGGACCCGTAAGTTAAATATTGTCTATATTACAAATTACTTCTATTCATCCTTAACTCATACTTATACTTAAATCTAGTTGTTGGTGAATATAATCTCCATCAAGTTGAGATTGATTATGGCAATAGGGACCCATAACATAATAGCTAAAATTAATATTTATGCTCCTCCCATGTTATTTTTTTCACTTATAATGGTTTAAGACCTAGTTTAACGATCAAATCAGATATTTTAACATTACAGTCATTAAACCAAAGCCTTAAAAATTATAATAAAATAAACCTTTTATGATATTAAGCGCCCCATTTAATGAGCATGTTTCTTTCTTTTCCAGGACCCTGCAGACTGCGTTCTCGGGTATCTTCCCTCGTGATAATCCCAAGAACACAAGGTTCTCCATCAACTTCTTCACTTCCATAGGTCTTGGAGGATTGACAGATGAGCTGAGAGAGCATTTGAAACAGTTGCCTAAGGTTTGTAAATATCAGGATGTGGTGTTGAAAAATTCAAATATGTGTTGAATCAAAAGTTTCGCAAAACTTTTCTTTAGGTTGGTGGTTGGTGACGGTACATTCATCTTTTTTTTTTTAATTTCAGAATGTACCTGCACCAATACCAGATATAACTCTGGGTAGTGACTCCAGCTCGGATTCCAGTTCGGACTCTTCTAGTTCCAGTAGTTCCGACTCCTCATCATCCAGCGACAGTTCAAGTGGTGAGTTTATTGAATAAAATATGTCTATCTACTAAGCAAATTCTACCCTTAATATGTGGCTTGCATTTATGTTAGTATAAATGATTTTATAATCCCATTTTAAATACCATATTTATTTTTATATTTTACCATTTATATACCATATTATACCATACATATACCATATTATACCATACATATTTATTTGACATTCTACTATCTGTACCTACCCTATTAGGAGACACTGATGATATTATTAGATATGTGATAATATTTAAGTTGATGAAATTATTAATTTCACAAATCAATTTACAGAATCCGAGTCAGAGAAAACTAGTAAAAAGAAAAAGGAAAAGAAATCTAAAAAGGATAAAAGCAAAGATAAAGTACCTAAAACGCCTGAACCCGAACCCGAGCCACCTGTTGAAAGGTGGGGACATGATGGTTTCTACGACACCTACGGCAAAGGCGCTAAAAGAATGGAAAATAGAAATAACCAACGTCAAGATAGAGACAACTTTATAAGACCTCGGGACGCTAGGAGAAATGACGACAGAATAGATCATAGAAATGGAGATAATAAACGCAGAAGGTATGATGGAAATGAACAAAATGATCGTGACAACAGGCGCCACGAGGATAGAGGCGATCGAGATGATGATAGGAGACCAACCCATGAACGGTATTGGAATAGTGAAAGACCACGAGATGATGACAGACAAAATGGAGATGATAGGGAACGTAACGACGATGATAGAAACCGCAGAGACGAGAGGCCACAAAAAGATAAAAAACGAAGCCGAAGAGATGATAGAGAACGTCAAAATGAAGAGAGAGATGATAAGAGAAGCAATGATGATGATAGGACAAAAGATGATAGAAGAGAGCGTAGAGACGAAGATCAAAGGATACAAAACGAAGAAAGAAGCCGCAAGAATGACAGGCAACAGAGAGACGAGGCCAAAGGTCGCAGGGATGACGGTGAGGAGAGGAACCGTAAGGAAGATGAAAGAGAATTAAAAAATCGTAGGGATGACGATAGAGGTCGAAGAGATGATGACAGGGCAGGAAGAGATGATGACAGGCGACAAAGAGATGACGACAGGCGACAAAGAGATGATGTTAGAGAACGAAAAGATGATGGTAAAGAACTTAGGGATGATGATAGAGGACGCAGAGATGATGACAAGGTACAAAGAAATTACGGAAGGGGACGAAGAGATGAGGATAAAGAACGTAGGGATAACAACAGGGAACGCAGGGATGATGATAGAGAACGCAAAGATGATCACAGGGCACGACGAGACGATGAAAGAGTACAACGAGATGATGAAAGGGTACAAAGAGATGATAGTAGGGGACAAAAAGATGAAGAACGTAGAAATAACTATAAAGAACCTAGAGATGATGAAAGAGAACGCAAGGATAATGATAGGGGACGAAGAAATGACGATAGACAACGTAAGGACGATGATAGGGCACGTAGAAATGAAGATAGAGAACAAAGAAACATCGACAAAGAAATGCCAAATGATGATCCTAGCCGTAACTATGATAAAGAACAAAGAAATGACAAAAGAATTCGCAGAGATGAAAGAGATGAACATAGAGGACGTCAAGAGGATGAAAAAGAACGTAGGGAGGAAGATAAAAGATATCAGGAGGACGATAGGCGTAGAGACTATGAGAGAAGCCGTAAAGATTATGATAAAGGAAGGAGAGATGATAACAATGATAGACTACGAAGAGAAGAGAAACATTACGATGATAGAGTGCGTGGAGACGAAGATGAAGCTCCTAGAAAGAGTAAAAAAGACAAACAAAATAGAGATGACGACACAAGAAGTAAAAAGAAAGAATTAGAAGAACAAAACGAACAGGATAACCTCAGAGAAGTCGACAAGCGAAAAAAGGATAAACATAACGATAGACAAAAAGACAGTCGCGATGAAGACGAATCTAGAACTAAAAGAAAAGATAACAGCCAAAGATATCAAAATGGAGACCAACAAATTGAAGATAAAATTAATAGTATCAAAGATGAAAATGTAGAACATAGATCAAAGAAAAAACAAATTAAGAAAAGAGATAAAAGTAGTAAAAAACATGAAGAAAGCAGCAGTGAAGAGGAAATACCTGATAAAAAAAGTAAAAAGAAACAGTCAAAGGATAAAAAGAAAAAGCCAGCGAGTGAATCTGAAGATTCCTCATCATCATCATCCTCTGATTCGTCGTCATCATCTTCGACGTCTAGTTCATCATCGTCATCATCGGATGACGAAAATGATAAAAAAGTGTCTAACAGATACTGGGATACTTTAGATGTCATGTCTAAATCTGATTCACAGAAAGCTATTCGCGTTAAAAAACGTTCTTAGCGTTGAATACTTGCGTATGCGCAGCGATGAATATAAAATATCCATCACGTAACATGGCGAGATTTTGTCGTGAAGCGAATGAGTTCGCGCTTTGTGTATTTATTTTCGAAATTATTTTTCACTTTCAACACTCTTTTTTTTATTTCTTGGTATCATTCATCATCTTATTTTAGATGAGGACCATAAAGTAAGGAGAAAATCTTGCTATGTTACGTGCAAAGGAACATATTACCTAATATGTTTTTGGACTGAATTTTATGTAGGCACTGACATTGCATGGTGTAGTCAAAGGCTTGTGTCGTGTCGCCATAAGTAAGTGCACTGATGAATGTTATAATACATATTTGTTGATAATCTTAGCAAAATAAATAAATATTTTAAAATATATTTCAAGAATTTTATTTTCTTGCCAATAAATAAGAGAATTATCTCTATATGTTTCAGTTTAACCATAAGTAACAAGACCTATTCATTATCTTCTGTATTGAGTATAATTCATGACAGCACAAGTTTAAACCTTAGTGGATTTTGGTTGTTAAATAATAAAAAAAAAGATAATCCTATAATTGTTGTAAAAATGATAAATAAATAAAAATTATATTGAATAAATACTCTTTTGAAATCTTCACAATTTCTCATGTCAATCACAAATTGATCACACATTGACAATTTTATTTTCGTATTATGTAAATACTTCCCCTATACCTAGTATACTCTGGTAATACATAATATGAATTCAACATTTGAATCGAAATCGAGTTACATAGCGCCGTCTATGCCAGAAGAGTTGAAGATGAGGGCGGCATCAGCTCCTGACCTTCCTAACTCTTCGGATGAGGATGAGGACGAGGTGTCGTTGAAGCCACAGCTGTCAGCTCCATCGTACTTCCATCACTTCAGAGAAAACGAATCTCCGCCCTTTTTGAAACCGCAACTAGAGCCACGCCCACGTATCCTGGTAGGCACTATCATGAATGAGGAAGAAGCCGTGGCCATGGTCGCGGCTGCTGATGCTGATAAAGAGAATGGGCTAAAAAGGTTTATAGGTACTGCCTACTTTTCAGTACACACATACATTTAAGTCTCCATATGGGAGACTGATACTACAGAGCGCGCCATACTTTATTTTATGGGATAAGCCGGTAAACCAGCAGACTGATCACCTGATAAGCAATCGGTGTCGTCCATGGACACCTGAAACACCAGAAGCGTTACAAGTGCGTTACCGGCCTTTTGGGAATTTGAGGATTATGGGGGATTCGGGAATTGGGGAGGGGGAATAATTGGGCATCCGGTAACCTTACTCACACGACGAAACACGTGACATACGTTTTCTGTGAGGCCGTGGTATCACTGCGGTCGAGCCGGCTCATTCGTGTCAAAGCATGGCTCTCCCACACTTAATTCTACTAAGTATAACTACGGGGTTCCATTTCTGCATATGTGTAGCGTGTATAGCATACATACACGCATTTATGCCTATTTTTAGATCACCTACAGTGGCTACAGTATTGTTTACAAAAAGTAAAGGTTGTAGGTAAGTACACCTGCATTCATTTTATGTAGGTATCTCGTCCCTCAGGTAATTTCCTAATAGAAAAGAAAATAGTACAAAACTATGCTATACCTGAGAAGAATTTTTTAATTAGTCTCGTGATGGAAGTTATTGATTATTCGGCGCAGAGGGACTTTGATGCGTTCAAACTAGCTGTGCTCATAACGATATATTTGAACTCGCATCTTTACTTCAAATGGTACTACTGGCAGTCACCGACAGCGGTCTGGAGTTATTTCAAGCAAGTTATGATAAGGCATACTGTCGAGGTGAGTTGAGATATAACGTCGTCTATTTTATTCCACGAGGGTGGTAGACTAGATGATTATTTCCAAGTGTGAGCCTATTGCTGAGAATTTAGAAAATCAAATATTTATTGGTTCCACGATTGGTGCAATACCACGGTCTGTGCAAAGTGCCAAGCGTTCGATTTCCGTGCAAATAAATACTTTGTAAAGTCCAGAAATCGTTGTTCTGACTTTTCTGTCTGGGTGTGGTATTACATTATGTTTGTCAATACGCAGGCGAATATCGTAGTTTACAGCAATATTTGAATATATTAAAATGAAAATTCCTTTTTACGTACTTCTAGGACACTCCAGATGGCGAGGAAGTGTTCAGAGCCCAGGACTGCTACGATATCATCACCCATTTCCACACAGTATACCTGTCTAACATGCCACTGATTCATATCATCACCTTCGGCACGAATAGACTCAAACTGATTTGGCCTTTCAAGATAGGAAAGTAGGAACAGAATCTGAACTATGGAGAAGTAAAACAATTCATCATCAACCTGAACATGTCCACTGCTGCACAAAGACCTCCCCTTAGTTCTAAACTTCGAAAGATAACGCCCTTGTATCCAATCTAATGGCTCCCACAACTGACAATGTTGTTGCACCAGGAGATTTGCATAAAAGTTCGTGTGATGATTATGAAAATTAGATTTTAATCTTGGAATATTATTATATTCATAATTTCAAATAAAGTTATATTACTAAAATTCTTGTGTTTCGTAAAAGTAGCTTAGCTGTAATAAGGTACACTATATTATTGCAAGGATGACTAGACAATAAGGGATCATCACCCATGTGATATGATTCATGTGATGGAATCTAAAGAAGTGTAGCAATTGTGCAAGTGCATGAGAAAATATTTTTTATGGATTTACATATCCATAAAAACAGATTAATTAAATAAAAATACAATTAATTACAATTAAAATTATATTACATTAAATCAAGCATTACTAACAGCACTCTTTAGTTGCTCCTTCAAATGCTGTGGTATTTTTTTCTTTCTTTTTCTAACCTTTCCTTCGCTCACACTCTCTGACTTACTTTTATTATTATTATTAACTGGCTTCTTCTTTTTCTTCTTACAAGACAAGGGATTAGGATTGTGGGGCTTTTTCTTTTTAATTGGAATCTTAGGCTTTTCATCCTTTTCTTCAACTCCTAGAACTTTTTTCATAGTTTGGAGTGCTTCATTCTGAGTTTCACTGATAAACATAAATTGGTTTCCTTCTAATGTTTGGCCGGCCTTAGCATAGCTGGCTGGCGAAGGTTTCTCTAATGTGGGAGATTTGTTGTGAAGGTATAAAAGTGGAACTCCTGCTTTTTCTCTAAGTTTGTCCTGCAAATCTCTATCCTGTGTTGCCAGAATATAATGTTTGTCATTTTTCCTACCAATCATGGACAGTATACAGTTGGATCCTCCAATAGGTTCTTTATGATTGCATTCATGTATACCAAATTGCTTCAATATAGTTAGGGCTCCATGAGTCTTCTTTGCTATTTTTTCTGTTTCTATAATTATACATCTTGTAGTGAGTAATTTTACTTGAGAGTTTAAATATTTTGGGATCTGGTCCCTAATGTTGATTTGTTCCTGAAAAAGTCAAAATGAGGTAATTTAGTAAAAAATATTGCTAAAATATCACACAGTTGGTAAAAAGGGTTGTAAGGGGTTTTAATAAATTGTTTGCCCCCTATTACAAGGAACTTCTTTACCAGTGAAAATGAAATGTACAAATAAATTTATACAATCACTAGGAAACTTATTTGGTGTTTACTTTTAATGAATACGAAAAGAATACCTAGTTTTAAATATTGCTTGCAGCTGGTTCTGGGAAATTCTCTTGCCAGCGCAGGCTCTGTTCTTTGAGAGTGAGGTGAGAGTCTGCGCTGTCAGCTTCAGGGTCCGGGAGCTCCTCCAACGGGACCTGGATGTCCTCATGAGGGAGCTGTTCAGCCCGCCACTCTTCATCCACAATGTCAATCAGACGACCGTTACGGCGGTATTTGCTGTCCATTCTGCGCAAATATTATTTATTCAAGTTGGTGTATAAAAATCTTTGAAGTGGTTAAGTGGTTGTGGCGTTTGTGCAAGCAATATTTAAAACTAAGTCTTCTTTTATTGTGTAGATATTTAAGAAGACTTACTTTAAAAGCAGCAAAACAAAACGTGCCGTCCAACAAAACTTGGTATGGTTGGTGAAAACCGTAGTTGTTGTAGTAGAACTTAAGATATTTCTGAACCTTTTTATATCTGGTGATCTTCATGGTTTGAAATTGTTATACGAACCTTTCAATTTATATTTTGAGAAGAAATAAACTACCACGACAAAATACACCACGAGCGTGAAAGCAAATGTCAATACTGCTAATGTCAAAATTGTCTATTTGATGACATTGATAAAATATTGCCAGAGAACAAAATGGAGAAAAAGAACTCAACCATAGATCGTCATCTATGGCTAGTCGTGAACTTATATTATGTAGAACCTAAATATTTGCATCATTTAATAAATAATCATATCATGTAAAATCTAATTATTTGTCACAAATAATAGTCGTATTCATAATTTTCGGAATCATAGACAATATGGGATTTCTTAAAATGACGTATACTAAACCATAGACAGTTTTTTGTGAAATGAAACGTCTCGCTCGCTCTCTCGCTTCCATGTTTGTTCGTGGTCATTTTGCATTTCTGTGCTAGATTTTCCAGTTTAGCATTTAAAATTAATGATTTTATTCATTAAAGTGTGTAATTAATGATATTTTCGGCGATACGGCGACCTCTTGAGGATCTGTCGCCCAAGGAAAAGTGCAAAACAGCGGTATAATAACAGGGAGGGTACGTCTTTCATATCCTTATAATCAAGTAAATGCGTCATTTTATCCAATATTGTTTAAGAGTGTTCATATAATGAGAAGATTAGTTGTATTGTTCTTCTAAGTAGTCGTCTGGACAAAGTGATCGGACGCGTAGATGACTACGTCGAGTGCTTTTATGACATACAGCTGATTCCGATGGGGCGTCTCTATGTAATTTTTAATCGTCCGAGTCGAAGGAAACGCTATGATACGGGCATAAGCGGTTAGTCATCATCATAACAGACACGTTTTTGGTGCGCGACAGATAAATTGATCGAGAAATTATATTATGTAGGTCCGGCGAACTGCGCCGAATAGTGGCTGATAAGTGTCATTGTTAATACCTTTTGTTTCTTTGTGATTTCGCGACGATACGGACGTGGAGATAACAATTTCTTGTTTACCGTTTTAAGCCAGTCTTTATTACGTTCGCTTTCGTAGTTCTTCAAGTCTCAAGGTTTAAAAAAAACAACAAATTGAATTCTTTGTCAATGTGCATGGGTGATTGATCATTAGTTTTAGTTGTAATTGCAAGACTTGTCAATGGTGTCCAACTGTGTTTTTGTAGGACTTTTATCTGGTGAGTACTGGTTAGTAAAACACTAAAACCTGCAAGGTTATCTTCTGAACATGGCTCTGCAACTTTTCTATAGTATACTGGATAATTAAAAGTGAATAATGATTTGTCTTAAAGTACTCCAAAGTTTTTTATGACCAAGTTGTATTGAAATGAATCATTCTCAACAAAAAGTACACAAGTAATCATCCTTGAGTAAATAATTGTTTAATTTCACTTGCTCATTTATTATCTGTGGAAGTTTACAAACTAATTTTATTCTAGTTAGCTTTATCATAAATATAATAATAAAAAAAAACTATCTAAATCAGTTTGAGATGTCATTATCTATTTACACACATTAATAAACTTCTATTATGTCTGATACTAAGAACTCAAAGACTAAGAAATAAAAACAATCATACCACTTCCTGGAATTGCTTACAGGGTATGTCACCAAATAACCCAAAAGTCAAAACTGGTTTTTAATTAGTCAAATGGCTTTTTAATTAATGTAATTTTAATTAGGTAGTATAGTTTAAATAGCTTAATTTCTTCATGATTAGCAGGCATTAAACTATAATTTATTAATAAGAAAATAATTGCTGTAGTGTTAACTTAAGTTAAAATGCAGCTGAAGAAACTCAGTCTAGTTTTTACCTCAATAAAGGTCAGAGCTTAGTGTGTTAAATAATCTGTGGTAAACATGTCCTATTTTAAAGAAAAGCCTGCATTGTCTGTGAGTATACAGCCTTATTTTCTATTTCAATATGCAAAGAGGCTATATTGACATATTCTGAAAATAGTTTTAATATCGTGAACATGTTTACATAACATGGCATAGACATAACATTATGCAATATTTACTAAGTAATAATTCACACTGATTAGTTTATATCATGTATTAATTAGTTACTAAAGATTTCTGTTGGATTACAGAACTTTAAACTTTATTTCCTTGTTCTATTAACTAATCTACAATAAAGATATAGGGCGCTCTATTATTGTGAACTAGCCTTTATGTCATTTTTAATTAAGATAGTTTTTATTGGTTGCCATATAACTTAATGTCTAATTATAATATTAAAAGGGTTTTAACCAACTTCAATAAAAAAGATGTTCTAAGCTTGACCTGAATGTATGTGTGTGATTATGTCAAAACCCGTTCAGCCAATTGCAATTGACTGATTGGATTTTGATGTGGTTTTCAGAAAAGTGTTGGTTACACTTAGGAAAAGGTTTTAGTTATATTAACTCGTTGAGTACCGTCATTATAGACACAATTAAAGAACAATAGGTTGCAGTCGCCGGTGACCGCTCGGTGTTTGATTAATCAGTTAAATTAATCATCTTCAAAAAAAGGGAGTTGAAGGTCTTTAAAATGTACTTTATAAATGAATTATTTGTTTAGATAACTCAGTGAACCATAAAGATTTTATGTAAATAAATCACTCTTTAGTAATATGTTTATGTGACTATTTGACATAAATTATAAACTTTCGATTGAACCATTATACTTTATACACCTACTGTTGCACATCTCTGCATCACCCCATGGTTGAGTGTTAGAGAAGTCCACCATCGTATGTTTATTGTACAGAAGTGTTAATAAAATAAACCTAAAAAATCTCTTTTTACCATTTACTAAAGCAGTTGATGTTTTTCCTCCAAGAGAAGTATCTGAACTTTAAAATAAACATTCTCAGTGGTTTATAGTACCTAGTTGAACTATATTATTTAAGATTTTCCCTGTACTTATTATTTTGAATGGGGCTTAGTATTTCTTACTAAGAGGTCTTTAGTGTGTGTTGTTACTGTCTATCCACCTTGCATGGTGATATTTGTATGTTAACTTATACACAGTCATCTGATATAAACCCCCAAAATTTCTTCATACAAAATTAGTCTCTAAACATCGGAAATAAGGACTATAATGGAGTTAGTGGGGAGCAGGCACCGTTTATTTTATCCAGATATCAGGTATAATATAAATGATATTTGTTCTGTCTGTTTCATCACCTGTAATTAAGTTACAGCTAACTTAACTCGTCGAGTACCGGTTTTGTAGACACAATTATACAACAATAGGTTGCGGTCACCGGTGACCGCTTGGTGTTTGACAGTTTAACTACCACATAAACTGTTGTGTAATTTAGTATGGAAAATATGTCAAATAATTCACCAGTGTAAACATGACTGTTAAATGGTGAAATATAGCGTAAATAAAGTTCAAATTTGCATAAAAGAAAAGCATATTCTTGCAATTTCCAATCTTTTTATGCCACTCAGATGTGCATTTGCCAGTTTTTTCCAAGATAACATGATTTATGTCACTAGGACATGATAAATCATACACTATCTTTTAAGTTGTATGTTTTTATTGTTATTGTGAGAAACAGGACGGCCATTATGAAGTCATTGACTGTTCCTTTCCTTCTCACACCTTTGTGTTGGAAGCAAAGATAGAACTTTCTTTTTTTATCTTATTTCAGTAAGATAAACAATGTATAATCGTGAATTGATGTTCTTGTGTGCAGTATGTATTTATGTAAATGTTTGCATGAATAATTTATTTTTCGTACCTACATAATTATGAGTAATTTCAGTATTCAAAGTTATCTGCACACTTACAAACTTTTATTTTGTTGCCAGGGTGCTATGTTAATATTAAGTCCTAAACAAATAGTACTAACTAGCACTGTACAAGGTATAATGAACTTAGATGTCTTTTCCCACAGTCTACTTTTTCTTTTCCTTTAATTTATGGTCAGTTTCAATACTTCTTACTTATTTTTTTATCAACCTAACTGGCTGTTCACACTAGTCAATTTAAAAAGGTTTTCATAAAGTAGTTAAATAACATTTATATTTAAGGTTGGATCTCAGCACAATCATTATAATTAACAATCATTTGCATGTCCTGTGCAAGTCTGTCTGTATTCCTTCCTGCCTCTCATAAACATTTTATTATTTATTGAAACTACTCACATACTACTTTGTTATATTTGCTTTGATTCTATTAAATGTAATTATGCTCTGAAGGGGTAGGCTGGGTAGTTCTAAGTCTTCTTGTTTAAACTGTCAAACACCGAGTGGTCACCGGTGACCGCTACATATTGTTCTTTAATTGTGTCTATAATGATGGTACTCAACGAGTTAATGTGGTTCTAAATTATATTTTCTAATTACTTTTGCAAATAATAACAAAGAACAATTAAGTGACTTGATGAATGACATTTATTTTTTGCAACTAGGCCGTAAAATAGAACTTGTACATCAAGAAGTTTCAGTTAATTATAAAATAGTAAAGTTAGAAATCTGGATCAACTAACAGAATTTGGGATGAAACAAAAAATCGGATCTATTGTGTTTTTCTATCTATCCGTTTATCGATGTTTTGTTACCAGTATGAGTCACGATTGGCTTGTAGCAATTTTTTCACGAAATTATTATTAGTGCTTGTCAAAATGATAGGTCAGTTGACGCCCATAATATACCGCTATCTCTTATCAGTAACAAACGGATTTAACAAGTGAATTGAAGTGAACCACGTGTTTTACCATTTTTGTTGCTATGTCGTTTTAATTAGAAAATAAAAATTCTTGCCTAGGCTTCATATTGTTTACAATCTAGTGTAGGTACTATCTGGAAGTCTTTGGGGGAGGCCTATGTTCAGCAGTGAACGTCCTGTGGCTGATATGATGATGATGATGATGAGTGTAGGTACTGAAAGTTTTATCTCTCAGCATATTACTTAACTCATCATTATCCAAACCTGTCCAATATAATTCCATAAATATAAATCATTTTATTACTAATAAAGCCTAGTTTTCTAGCATTTTCTTTAAGCAATAGATAGGTATCAATTAAGGATCAAAATCTACTAAACATCAAAATCCTCTTGCTTGTTATGTACATGATGCATAAGTATATACACATGTCTTACGAACATCAATGACAATTAAGACAAAACAAGTTAACCAAGTGTATCATAGTCTAGGTAATTGCACTTGACTTGAAAAATATTTTCACCGAATAGACCTGTTGTCGTTTCCCGCGAACTGAAGGTTACATTGTTCGCCGTGCCCTCAAGGACGAAGTTATTATTTAAAGCCTATGAAATATGCTTGTTTCAAGGTGCCACTTGTTTAGCTAATTCCTATTTTTACCTGTCACGTTTATTTTAGTCTTTGAGACTTAAACTATTGTTGTATAACAGTAAGTTGTTGACTGATAAGTTAAGAGACGTCCAAGAGTGTGCCTATCACTTATTGAATTAATTTCTCAGAAGTTCATAAGACAATGATAATGACGTAACGTTATTATTCTTATTATAAGATGATACAAGCTAAGTCTTGTAATGTTTGCAGGCGATGGCGACCAACAGGAGCGGTGCGGCGCAGCGGCCGAACGGCGCGCCACAAACGAAAGTCTGTCAGTTCAAACTGGTACTCCTAGGAGAGTCAGCAGTGGGCAAGTCTTCTCTAGTACTTCGATTCGTCAAGGGCCAGTTCCACGAGTACCAGGAGAGCACGATCGGCGCCGCTTTTCTAACTCAGACCGTATGCCTCGATGACACCACCGTCAAGTTTGAAATATGGGACACTGCGGGGCAGGAAAGGTATGATATACACCACTCTATTTATCCGTTTGACAGTATTTAAAAGTGACACAGAGCACCGAACTAACCGCTCTGGGTTATTTCTCACAGAGTAGTCGGTAAATGCATGAAATCTTCTGCTTTCATTTTAGAAATCCCTTTAGGCAATGACTGAAACTTTCGAGTATTTGGAGTGGGATTATTTACAGTAATTTTAATCAGAAAATGTAACAAATATCCATTTATATTATACTCATCCTCACAAACAGTTAAAAGTGGAATATTAAGATACAAACGCACTCGTTCTGACTCGAAACTATCGGACATTGGACTATTCACCTCAATGAAAAACAATGAATACATGAATGAAAGAGAAAATACAAAAAATAAAAAGTTAATGTTACTGATAAGATAATGTGATAGCAATCATGTCTACTTGCCACCTTTTTAACTGATTACTAAATGTAGGTAGCTCCTATAATTCTAGACTTAAATATAACAATACTTGAGGAAAATGTATTGTAAAAGGCTCAAGCCTTGAATTTTTAAATAAGTAAATTGCATGTTGATAAAGAAGACAAAGAAATTATTTTAATTTAGGTTTCTTAATGTTTAGAATACAATGTTAAACATATAATATTAAGGATCCCTGTAGGTTCCAACCCAAATACAGCTAGGGTCCTAAGACAACTTGATAAAATTAAAGGTCCTAAGCAATTGCCTAGCCCTAGCTAAATACCTAGAATACTCAATATGGAATTGTAACCAGTATATGGCAATAGACTCCCCCCTATTACATACAATTTATAACATAATCTAGATCTAGTAAAAAAAGGTTGTCCCATTGTGTATGTGCACTCTACCTATTTAAAGGCTTCTAGTATAAATAAGGTTGTAACAAAATATGTCTTGTTCTGCAGGTATCACAGCTTAGCGCCTATGTACTACAGAGGCGCGCAGGCGGCTATCGTCGTATATGATATTACTAATCAGGTAAATATTTTATTTAATTAACTTAATCCGAATTATGAAATTACTTAGCGGCAGTACAAATGTTACAATCATTCTTTGTAGGAAGTTCTGACGTAGTCACATAAAATATTCTTATTAAGTACTTACTTCTAAATGATTTGTAGTTATCAAATTTCAAGCTAACGGAATTGATTAACGTCTTCACAAAAGTAATCTATTTATCTAGCCTACAGTCATCTATGTTTCGAAATTCGCCCTTATTGCTTGCGTATAAAGACGCTGACGATAGCACGCGACGGCTTGGAACAAAAAGTATAGAAAAGTGGAGTAAGGCCGGCTGCTCGTTAGATACGATCATTGTATCGTTCAATTGAACGAACTTCCGTGGTTAACTTCGAGACTATAAGACGTTAACTTGAGATCGAAATTACATTGAATAATTATATCAAATCAAATCAAATCAAATCAAATCATTTATTCATTTGCGAACATGGGTACAAAAAAAAAAAGGTCTTATAAATACAAAATAGTGTCCATTAACCATATTCTACCTTAAAGGCATGCAAATTTAAAAGAAAGATACAATAACACATATTAGGCACCAATAAACTAGTATTTTACAAATGAGGTAACATTATATAAGCTTATCCTGTAAATATTCCGTGACAGAGTAATATGCTTTTTTCAGTAACAGTGTTTTAACATTGTTTTTAAATACATTTTCATCACTTATGCCCAGAAATGAATTTGGTAAATGATTATATATGCGTGGAGCCATACATAATATACTTTTATTTAATAATGTTGTTTTGTTGCTTGGTAGACATACATTGAATTTGTGTCTTTTACTATGTAACTTATTAAAATAGTGTGTATTCCTTCTAACAAACATTATAACTTCGAATATATATATGCAAGGTAAAGTAAGAATATTTAATTTCAAAAACAATGGTCTACAGCTGTCAGTTATTTTTATACTACTTATGGCTCGGATACACCTCTTCTGGGCTTTAAACACAGCTTCTTTATTGGTAGTATTGCCCCAAAAAATAACACAATACTTCAAAATAGGTACAACATAGCCATTGTAGGCTGTAAGGACTGTAGAAATATTAACCGTTTGTTTAATTTTAAACAATGCATAAGAAAAGGCATTCAATTTAGTGCACAGTAGATGGATATGTTCCTTAAAATTTATATTGTTGTCTATGTATATACCCAGAAATCTCGTAACGTCAACTTCTTGGATCTTGGTGTCGCGATAATTTATATTCATGTTTGCTATTTTACTAACTCTATTTCTGAATGTCATGAAATTTGTTTTGTTGAGATTTATGTGTAGATTGTTTAATGTTAGCCAATTTATGATGTTTTCTAAAGTCATGTTTATCTCAAGTTCCATGCGTGATTTACTATCTCCTGTGAACACTATAGTACTGTCATCAGCAAACAAAATCGTGTTGTATTTAGTGGCCTTTGGGAGATCATTAATGTATATTATAAAAAGAAGCGGGCCCAGTACACTTCCTTGTGGAACTCCAGATATTACTTTTCTACATGAGGATAAATAATTTATATTTTTTTTGGCATAGGGACATATCCTTGTTATTTGCGTTACTTGTGATCTATTACCTAAGTATGATTTAATCAAGTTATGTATATTTCCTCTGACACCGTAAGCGTACAATTTATTAAGGAGTATTTTGTGGTCCACATAATCAAATGCCTTTGTGAGGTCCATAAACAATGCACACGTTTGTCCGCCTTTGTCCATGTCAGTTAATATGCTCTGTAGAAAATTATATACTGCTATATTAATCGATTTATTTTTACGAAAACCAATTTGTTCGGTACAAAATAAGTTATTTTTCTCAAAATAATTGTAAATACTATCATGGATCACTTTCTCAAATATCTTTGATATGACTGGTACAAGAGCTATTGGGCGGTAGCAGTTCATCTCATTTTTATTGCCTTTTTTAAATAAAGGTTTAATTACAGTTAATTTCAGTTTTTCTGGGAAGACTCCATTTGTTATACTTAAATTTATTATATGACTAAGAATATACGATAACTTAGTAGATACGTGTTTTAATATTTTTGTTGATATATCATCATATCCAGTACTATTTGTGTTCTTGAGGCCTTTAATTATTCTGTATATATCTGCTGGTATAGTTGGATACATAAATATAGAATTTGGTTCGAATGGGATTTCGCGCGTTATTCGAGATCTTGGATTATTTGGTGCGGAAATTTTAATTTTGTCAATGAAGAAATTGTTGAAATAGTTAGCAATCTGTTTAGGTTCAGTTATTATATTACCATCAACAGTTATCTGTTGCATTTGATCTTTAGGGACATTAAATTTATTTGTATTTATTATCTTCCAAGTAGCTTGTGACTTATTTCGAGCAGTATTTATGTAATTATCATTACGTGACTTTTGCGTTAATTTTATGATCTGATTTAATTTTGAAGACAAAGATAAGAATGATTTTTTATTATTATCTGTAGGATTTTTTCTGTATTCCCACAAAAGTTGTCGTTTACGCTTACAGCATACTCTAAGACCTTTTGTGATCCATCGAGGACGAGATCTTGTTGATATTCTTATCTGTATAGTTGGGAAGCAAAGATTATAGAATAGGTGAAATATTTCATAGAAGTCATTGAATGCTAGGTTTGGATCTGTGTTCAAAAAGACGTCATTGAAATGTAGAGAATTTATGCATTGTTTGAATTTACAAATGTTTTCTTTAGAATAATCTCTTTTTTCTATGTTCCATGATTTAAGAGAGAAGCTAGATTTAACTGGACATGAAAGCAATTGTGCGGTGTGATCAGAAAGTGCAAATTCAATAACCTTTGCGGAACATCCTTTAACATTAAATATAACATTATCAATACATGTCTTACTTGATATCCGTGTTGGTTCATTGATGCCCAATTTTAGGTTGTAACTGTGTAGAATTTGCATAAATTCAGTTGCTTCATAAGTTTTTTTAAGCATATTTATATTAAAGTCACCGCAAATTATTACTTTTTTTTTACCATAACAAAGTCGACCAAGAAGGAAGTTTAGGTTCTGGAAGAATTTATGTATATCCTCTGTATTTGGTCTTGGAGGTCTGTAGACACATATGACGTATATTTTATAGTCTATTAACTCAATGCCAGAACATTCAATTATATTTTCAAGTGAGTAACTACTGAAATCATTTATTGGTGCATATTGAAATGAATTTTCTATTAAGATACAGGATCCACCGCGACGATTTTTCCTATAGAAACAAGAAGCCAGTTTATAATTATTAATATTTAATATGTTACTGTCCGTTTCTACCATATTATGTTCAGTAATGCATAGCACATTTATAGGATTTAGTTCATTTTCAAGAGCTAACATTAAAAGTTCTGACTTAGAGACAAGGCCATTTATGTTTTGGTGCAGAATATTTATGTGTTTAAACACGAAAAAGCTCTTTTGATACTTGTGGAGTAGATGTATTATCTATAGTTTGATTCTGCAATGTGAGGGTTGGAGAACAAGTATCACTAGGAGATGGAAATTTATTGATCTGAAGTATAGATTCATTGCAGTGTCGATTTGATTTAACATCTGTTAATTTTGGAAAATAGTATGGAATAGTGCCAGGTTTTAATTGACTAATTTTATTTAAATTTTCTGTTGTATCTCCAGTGTCATAATTATGTTCATAAAATGTGTTTATATAATGTATATATTTATTTAGTTTATAAAATATTTTTTCCATTCCAATATTATTCACTTTTCCCGTAAATTTAGAGAACATATCGTACGTATATTTCAAATATTTATTTGTGTCAAACGTATACGTATATTCAAACCTCTTGTTACTTAAATACAGATGCTGGTTGAATGCTTCTATTCTCTTATTAAACAACATTACGTTACCCTTTAGTTTAAAATTTGGAACACACAAAATAACATTAGTATGTGTTATTTTTTCAAGCTTACTTTTTATGTAATTTACTAATAATTCATAGTTTTTAGAAACGACAAAATCTCTTTCACCTAACAAAATTATACAAAAATCTTTCAGAGTGTAATTAACAAGTTTTAAGTCAAGTCCTGACAGAATTTCCGTTATTCCAGCATTTGGGAGACAGTAATGGCAGATTTTATTATTTGGGAAAACATTTTCAGCTGTTTTTAGAATATTATTTGTATTGTTATCACTAACTACACAAATTTTGCTGAAGTACGTTTTATTTCTATTATCTATTAATTCCCTATGAATATATTTTGTTGTATCTTCCCTTACTTGAGAAGCAGTAGTGTCGTTTGCTTCTGGGTAAATTAACAATTTGGATGATTTTGGAATATCATCGATATTTTTTTCATTCTTAGAGCATAGTAGTTTGTTACCTGTTTGTGTACTAGATCTTGGTTCAGATTTTTTATTAGGACTTTCTTGTGTGTTTAAGAAATCAAGCTTAGATCGTACTAGACTTTTACGTTTTGTAGTGGGTTTCTTCTTAATCGTACTTGTACATACATGTTTCAACTTGTTAACTGTTAATTTGTAGTGATTAATTTGTTCAGCTTGTGCACTATTTTCTAACAGTAATTTTTCTATTTCATTTTCAGCTATTTTTAGGTTTTCTTCAAGTTTATATATTTTATTCTTCAATTCTTTAACGTCATCGTTAGACCTCTGTATTTCAGTATAGCTTCTGTTCATAATATTTGAAGATGTTGAAATAAATGATGAATGCTCATCTTCATTTTCGGAAACTTCCGAAAACGCCCCAAATGAGTTTTCTGTTGCAAAAGTTGCTTGACATGGTTTGTTTCTATACGTAACATTACTTATTGGAGTGATGCATATTTTTGTTGGACTACTTAGTAGATTAATATGCGATATATTATCTGTGGAACTAGTAGCCATTTTTGTAATACATGTTTTACAGCGCCATTTTTTCTTTGATTCTGGGTCCATTAGTTTATATGTTTGTGCTGGGTAACCATCACAATC